CCTCGCCGTCGGCACAACTGGACCCGCTGGCGCTGCCCTGATTGAACGAGAGCGGGTCACATGGAGAAGGTGGGCCAATGGGAAAGGAGAGGTGCCCTGGGGGCGGGCAGAGAAGGGCTGGCTGGCGCCATCTTTGATCCGGGCAAGTAGGAGCGCCCTAGAAGCAAGTGCCGGGGGCGCCATCTTTGTTAGTCCCCCTGCCAGCCCCTCGGCACAACTGGACCCGCTGGCGCTGCCCTGATTGAACGAGAGCGGGTCACATGGAGAAGGTGGGCCAATGGGAAAGGAGAGGTGCCCTGGGGGCGGGCAGAGAAGGGCTGGCTGGCGCCATCTTTGATCCGGGCAAGTAGGAGCGCCCTAGAAGCAAGTGCCGGGGGCGCCATCTTTGTTAGTCCCCCTGCCAGCCCCCGGCGCCGCGCCAGCCGTTAGGCGGGACCCGAGAGCCGCACCGAGGAGACTCCGCCCCGCGGCGGCGAAGGCAGAGCGAGGTTGCGCCCCCTGCAGGCTAAAGCCGGGGGAATGCCTGGGCTCCGGCGCCAAACCACGGGACGTTGTAGCCGCCCGGCCCGCAGCAGTTGCTTGGTTTGCTGATCCCGAGCGTCAGGCGACACCGGAGGCCGGTCCCATTTCAGCTAGAGGGGGGGCCCCGCGCGCTCCCCCCAGCACACGGGTCTTCTACCCGCCCGAAACACAGGGACGCTTTGGAATGAAGAGTTCATCGCAAAGTCAATGCTCATGCTAATGGGCCCAATCGTGATGAAGGTTGGTTGGGACATTATCAACCTAGCAGAAGCCTTAGGGGGTGGCCAAGTTCGTCTGTTACAGGAAGAAAAGCAACTGGTCTGGTGGCACTTTCTAGACAAAACTATGAAAGCTCATGATACCATCTATATGTTTTGTTAGTCTAGAAAGTGCTACCAAACCATTTGTTGTTTTTTTCTGTAAAACTTCAAAGTAGGAATAAGAGCCTCCGGAAAAGGGCGCTTTTTCTGGAGGATCGGGGCCAGTGTAGACGCTCTTTTCCGGCTTTTTTAAAAGCCGGAAAAAAGCGGCGGACAGTTTTATTTAAATGCCACGGGGGATATTTAAATCCCCTGCGCATTTCCCTACTACGACTCATGAAATTTACATGCCCCTTCCGGAAAAGGGGCCAGTGTAGATGAGCCCTATGTGTTTTTCTTAGAATAAGGAAGTTGTGTGAGAATCAGGGTCTTTTCCACCTAACTCCAGCTCGCCGTCCCCCCCCAAAATATGTACCAGTTCCGACTTACATACAATTCAACTTAAGAACAAACCTACAGTCCCTATCATGTACGTAACCGGGGGACTGCCTGTATGGCTCTCTACACCAGTGACGGGCACCTAGGCTAATAAGTGGGCTGCATGAGTGTCCCTTCTTCATCTCAGTGGGCTAAAAGATTGTTGTAACCAAGACAGTCTCCTGGAATAAGGTAATTTTGCTAACTGCACTTGAATGCTTAGAATTTCCAGGGTATGATGATTGAACCATAGCGGCACTTCGACTGGATGCAGAGAAAGCACGTGGGACTCACAGTCAATGTTGTGTACAAGCAGCATGCACCTCATTTCATATGCCCTTACTTTATGTTTGTGTCACTTTGGTAATACTAATAGGAAAAGAATGATATGGACGGAAACCAGTGGAATATGGCATCCCTGCACGCGCAAAGGTAAACAAAATGTCTCATGGGCCAGATATAGGACCCCACAATGGGGCGCATATGGCCTGCGGGCTGCAGGTTACCCACCACTCATGATTTTATATACCTCTATCATATTACATGGGTATAGCTTAGTGGTTCGCAACCTATTTACCTGTGAGACATATATTCAACTCTCTGGGTTAGATAAGATGCATAACCACAATTGCTGTGTCTAGACTGGCAAGTTTTTCTGCAAAAGCAGCTGTTTTTGCGGAAAAGCTTGCCAGCTGTCTACACTGGCCGCTTGAATTTCCTCAAGAACACTGATGATCTCATGTAAGAAATCTGTGCTTCTTGCGGAAATACTATGCTGCTCCTGTTCGGGCAAAAGTCCTTTTGCGCAAAAGGGTCAGTGTAAACAGCTCAGATTCATTTTGCGCAAAAAAGCCCCGATCGCGAAAATGACGATCAGGGCTTTTTTGCGTAAAAGAGTGTCTAAATTGGCACGGACGCTTTTCCACAAAAAGTGCTTTTGCGGAAAAGCGTCTGTGCCAATCTAGACGCTCTTTTCCACAAATGCTTTAACGGAAAACTTCTCCATTAAAAGCATTTGCGGAAAATCATGCCAGTCTAGACGTAGCCAATATGTATACCACCTGTATGTCCCTGAGGAGGTCACATGGTCCACAGCTGTGTGCTGATAGGGCCACAAACAGCCTAAGAGCTGTGGGTTGAGACTCATGGGAAGAGGTGCAGTATTTGTGTTAACATTTCTTCATTAACTGAATAGTTGGTTGGATTAGAATGCACCATAACAACATAGTCTTTTATTTGCAGAGGAGAGAATAAAGTCACATGTGTGTTTTAACAATTTATTTAATACTACAAAGAAATAAAGTCATCCATCATAAGGAAAATTATTTTAAATTCTGCAAATCACATAAGCCATTGAGAAAAAAAAGTAATATTCCATCTCTGAGGAGAAAAGGAAAAAGCCTCCTACAGTGACATGTTGCACAATTATTGAAAAGGCTTTCTTATTCAATTCTAGACAAGTTTTAACACAGTGTTTCAAACACTAATTCTATGTTACTATCAACAATCCATTTACAAAAGCTTATCACCAGTTGTAATTTTTTGCTAAAACGAAAAGTACAAAGTACAATGATGATGATTCCTACTCTCAGATTCATTGTCATTTATGCTTTAAAAACAAGACACTTCCAGAGAGCTAGTATAGCCCTGTGAAGCAAACTTGATTTTTTTTAAAGTAGCCAGTTATCACTTTGTTCATAATTATTAGCCAAACTTGAAGATTCATCTGTTCATAAGAACTATTCAGTTATGACATTTCATAACTCACTGCTGACAAACCAGTCAATTTTTCATCAACCAAAGTATTCAGAAAAATTGTTCTAATAAGGGAGACAATTACACCCACCAGTGGCTAAATGCTAGATTGAATTTCACAAGGCAAGTCTTTATCTAGGTGATGGTTTTGCTACATGAGCTCATCCTATGTAATCCCCATAGTAAAAGCTTAAACTAGGTCCAGGCCACAGTTCTCATAAAAGCTTAAGGAATCTGTCCTTTCTGCCCCAATACAAACCAGTTCAAAACATGCTATGCTGCTTTTACTTGTAAGTTATAAGATCTCTTTTTCATGACACAAAACTAAATGCCTCACCATACACATTCTTTACTGTAATTACAGAGTTGATTATCCACAACAGTAGTACAGTACTATACGGTAGTGGAATCACCTTTGAATTTTAGATTCCTGCATGTTTCTTGAATTTCTTGGCAAGGTGTTACAAGAAATGCAAACAAACCATACAAGTAAAAGCCAGAACTTGGCTGTTTACCCACCACCAGTTTGAGCTTTTACTTTGTGATTTAACTAGCTAGGGAAAGTGATATCTTCTAGATATTCTAGCAGATAGCATAACTGAACTGCCTCTCCTCTTAAAAAACAACAACAAAAAACCCACAATCGTTATCGGCCTCTTAACCATTAAAACATGGCTTACCAGTCAAAGAAGGCTGCCAAATCTACAGCATAATTCGTTTTCTGAATTCTGTGCTTTAGTTTCTCAAAACAGATTAGCAGCCTTGTTTGGAAAGTAACAACAAATAAATTAACATTGATACATTTCATTAGTATATAAAAAGCAGGGTAGTAAAGTGATTTAGAAATCCCCTGAGTTGACATAGAAGACTGGAGATATCTTTGTAACCAAGGTCTCAAGAATGGATTTACATGTACACCATTAGATCACAGCAGGTGCCAGGTTAAAAAAACAAAAATTCGGTTGGCAACACCTAGAGGTAGACAGACAACTCTTAAATCGACAAAAGTGAATAATTTATTCAAAAGCAGTAACTGGCTACTTTTACATAATCTAACCACAAGGCCTCACCAGGTCTTTGACAAAGGATTCTGGATCTACATACTAACTTGCCTTGCTTTTATTATGGCCTACTGGATGATTTGTGAAAGTTGCCTCTACATTTCAGCTAAGTTATTTACACCTTCTTTACAAGTCATTACTGTTGGCTGGGCATATATATTCTCTTAGTCCTGATTAAGTTTTAGAGCTGGGCCTGCCCAATTCTTCATGGAAAACCTCTCAAAGATTTACCATTTACATTAAATACTTAGAAGCATCTTCTTGTAAAAGTCTACTTGTCTTCCACACAGCATCCAAAGAAATAGCAGTTAGATCTCAGGTGTGAAAGTATCTTATTGTATGTTACTAGATAAATGGCACAGCAGACTACCCATTCCTTCACCTGAGAAAAAGCAGTAGCCATGGCAGATTTTGGTCAGAATGTTTCAGTTTCACATATCCCAATTAGTATTTATTGATGCCAAAGATTCTTACACCATGAAGCTGTGGCAACTTGGGGATAAGCACGCTCAAGAGAGAAGCTGTGTTTAGGATGAAGTGTGCCGGATCATACTTGGTATAGAAGCTTGCCAGGAAATACCTGCAGAAACAAAGTAAGCAAAGAGCTGATAAGTCTTGCTTGTTTTTTGTTTTGTTTTTAATGAAAATAATTTTTTAAAAATTGTAAATTTATCAGAAGACTAAAAAAGGATTCAGGGACAAGGGCAAAAGACAGGACAAATATTTCTCCTGATTATGAAGCTTTTATTGCTTCAGTAAATTGTGGCCCCAGTATCTTTCTCTCACAACTCTAGGGACCACAGTTTTGAAAAGTAAAAGCTAGATTAACCCTCCCTCCACCCTTTCAACTTGAGGTCTGAAACTTAGAAGTTACAAGGCTAGTTGAGAACTCATGTTTTAAATGGCACACACTGTTGTTAGTTTTATATTTTAATCTTAATATAATTCTCAAATTTTAAATTAGTTTAATAAACTCAGTGACAAGGCATTTGAAGTCCTCTAAAACAAAAAGGACACTGAAGTCGAGTGTATCTATAATCAGCAAAGTCTTAAAAAAGCCTGCAACCCTTTTGATGTTTGCAAAGTTCACTATTGTAGTTTAGCTAGTTGACAACCAGTTCAACTGGAAAAGTTAGAGAGCATGCCATGAATTCCAGTAGTTTGCCAATTATCTCACACTTTTAGTGGACCTGTAATCTCACTTTTTGCTATTAAAATCTACTACTTTGCTAAAGAGATATAAAATGAAGAGCGACATTGTGAATTTTCTTGGTTTTGGGGGATGGGTTCTTCAAAATTCTGTTGCTTAACATGGTATAATGGTATATTTTTACATATTGGGAGCACAAGCCAGGGCTTAAAAAAATGCTCTTGCATTCTTGTCATGTCTTGCAAGTGGGAGGCTCTCTCTGAAAAATGGAGACAACTATGACACCAATTTCTGTGTAGATAAAAAATTTAAGTTTCTAGTCCTTATGATCTTAAAAGAGAGTTTCCTAAATATGAACCAATTTAGCGTTCTCCTTCTACTCTGCAGACAGTTCAGTGTTGCTGCTGCTGCTGCTGCTGACATCTTTCACAAGCTGTAGAAAAAGACAACTGTAACAAGACTTTCAGATGTTGTACTGCTGCACTTTAGCACCCCCAGGGTAAAATCAGGTCAATTTCATTCTGCTGATGCTTAGTACATCTATGAACAAATACCAGAGGGAGGTATTGGGCTAATATGAAGTTGGAAAAAGGGGGCAGAAAATCCAAGTCTGGTATGGGGCAGATTGGCAGAGACCTAATTCCCCTGAAGTATCTAGAAGAGTAGAAAGGAAAAGTGTAGTGTGGATCCTACCCCCTATCCTAGGGAGACTCTGAGTTGGAGAATTCCAAGAAAGACCTCTCCCACAACAGTGAGAAAAGTGGAGGGAAGCTTCAAGTTTTATAAAAAACAACTAGCTATTTTCCATATAAACTTCTGGAGCCCCTGAGAAGCTAGGAAGCTTGGCACTTCTCAGCAGCTGAGGCAGAGAGAGGCACACTCCGTTCTTCTCATCAGCACACTGTCCTTGGACCATGCTTGCTGGTAACTACTTATCACTGAATCTGGCTGCTTACAAGAAGATTAGGTCCTTTGGCTAGTAGGTAGGTGTCTGTTAAGTTTTTCAAATTCTGGTGTAGGACCTAATCCTGCAAGATGCTGTTTAGCACTTTTAGTACTTAACTGAATTTCCCTCCAAAAATATTTGCATATTTCCATCAACGCCAGCCGAGATGTGTGAAGTCTTTAGTAGTGTTTATATTGTTACGTAACTAGTGTAAATACAAATAATTCAGAATGCAAAACTGACATGAAGTGCTATGAATCTGACTCAATAAAAAGTATGGCAAAGTTCATAGTGTGAGATTGGCGCTTTTGATGTTTATAAAAGCCAAAATCACAAATACTGAGACTTGAATTATTGAGACACATGCTACTTACTGAGGAAAATGTACTGTTAGTTCCTAAAGAACTCAATTCTACAGACCCTTTTGCTTGTTAATACAAGTTGAACCTCTCTCAGTCTGGCACTCTCTGGTCAGGCAACATCTGTGATCCAGTGTGATTTTAGTTAGCCAGATGTCCACTTAACAAGGACGTGGCCAAGTTTCCTGCAGTCCCATAAAATTTGTTTATAGCCACCAATTCTGGCTCTCAGTTTCTGTGCTATTATTTAGCTCAAATTTACCTCTAACTGTCTTCCACTGTTTACTAGGCTTTTAAAAGTGTTGTTAATGCTGCTAGAAATATTGACCTCCCATGGTTCAGCACCAGTCAGGTCCTGAAGATGCCAGATTAGAGAGGTTCAACCAGTCTTGTCAAAATTGGGCCTCTATTTCAGGAATAAGGATCAAAACTGCATAGAAAAGAATGACTAAACTAGTTTAATCTCGAACATCAAATAGAGACAAAAATAAATAAGGAAAAAGATGTAACAGACGTAAAAAGTATCACTAATAGATTAACTGAAGGTTTTTATTCCATAGATATATACTAGAAGATTTACCTGGAATTGCTTGGGTCCTTCAGGGCTGGGAGCTGTGAGGGATGCAGGACTCAGGGCATAGGACTGGAGGTGTGTGTGGGAGGTGAAGGCATCAGGGCAGGAGGCTGGGAGTTGTGTGTGTGTGTGGGGGGGGGGGACCCTCAGGACAGGATTAGGGGTAATGGGGTCAGTGCAGGGGGTGTGGAGCTCAGGGTGGGAGTACAGGAGTCAGGGCAGGAGATGGGAGGTCGGGTCCAGGACTGGGCTGCCTGGCAGCTCATCCGGGGAGGCTGTGGACTGGTGGAGCTCCTCCTATCTGGCAATGTGGATGATGGGAATTGGTTTGGGGGCAGGCAGGGTACTTACTTGGGTCGGTGTCCAGAAATATGGAGAGCCCTAGCTGGCCACACTCTTCCAGGTGCGGCCACCCCCATGTGGTCACTCTGCAGCATAACTGTCCCCCATACTTGCTGCACCCAGTGGTCACTGCAAAGCATAACTGACCCACCTATCAAACCCCTCCATTCCATGTTATGGAAAACTGAATTCCACGCACAGCCCAATTTTCTGGCACAACCAAACTCTGACCTTGCTTTACATTAGGATAAGAGGAAGCTGTATTCCAAATTTGGTGGTCCTAGCTCTTACTGTTTAGCGGTTCTTGAACAACTAGATTCACAGAGACAAACAGACAGACAGATGCATACTTTCTAAAATATATACATCTCCACAAAAGAGAATGATTCTAACAGTGCAAAACTCACAGAATTATTGGAGAGATCGTGAAGAATTTTCGTGAGGATGTAAATTGTACTCCATAGTCTAGTTGCTCCCAGTGTGTTAGCAGCCTGGCTTTCCCCTGGTCAGGTGTTTCAAAAGGAGTTCCCTTTACTGCATGTAAAAATACATACATTCCCTAGGGAAGAATTTTTTTTTTTTTTAAAAAGTAGCATTATTATTTTTGTTTTGTATTACTGTAGCCTCTTCATGACCCCATCAGAGATCAGAGCTATATTGTGCTAGACACAGGCACACAGTAAAGGAGTTTGTGCCATACTTACAACCTGCACAGACAAAAGCACAGAAGCAGGGAGAATGTGGAGTGAGGAGAAAGACACGCAAAGAATTAAAGTGACTTGCTCAACGACAGCAGGTCAATCCCAAAGCTAAGATTAGAACCTAAGTTCACGGTTCCCAATTTTGTGACTTATCCATTAGATTGCACAGCAAGAATTATGTGATGGAACAGATTGTAAGTAAGAGCACTAACAAGTTCAGGACTGTTAATCAGTAGTCATAAAACACAGTGTTAAAGTCAGCAGTGATTAAGAGAATGTGATAAAGCCCCCTGAGTAGCTTTTAGTCTAATTGGTAAAACAAGCCTTTGAATAGGTGTGCACTGCAATTTTTTAGTACAGCATTCATTAACAGAGCAATCTTTTCCCTCCATAGTGGCAGATCACGGAAAATCCTAGGCCAGTGGTTGTGCTGTGGACCTGTGGCTGCCAGGCCACAGGGCTGGAGTATACCACTCTTGCCATGGCTGTTGGGAGAGGCGTGTCCTGCCCTACCTCTCAGCCAACCAACACCAGGCAGGGGTGGGGTCTTCTCCTGGCTACAGGAGAGAGCTTCCTTGTGCGGCGGGAGAGCTACGCAGGAGAAGCGCTCTTCTGCGGCCAGGAGGAGACCTCCCCCACGCTGAGCGGCCCTCCCGCCACGCAGTGAAGCGTTCTTCTGCAGCTGGAGGAGACCCCGCCCCTGGCCAATGTTGGCTGGCTGATGGGAGAAGCATGTCTCCCCACACCTAACAGCTGCAGGGGGAGGGGAGGTGTTGGGTGGTGTTCCCTAGTCCTGCTGCGATGCAGGCAGCAGTACAGGGCTAGGTGAGGGGGGTGGGGTGGGGCTAGTGCTGGGAGGCTCTGGAGGCTGAGCTAGTAGTGGGGGGGGCTGTGGGGTTAGGGCTGGAATCGCTGGAATGGGGGAGGGGCTCTGGGGATGGGGCTAATATTGGGAGCTGGCACTGGGAGAGGTTCTGGGAAAGTTGGATGCAGTGGAGCTCTGGAAAGGAGGCTGGCACTGGAGGGTCTGTGGTTGAGGGCTGGCACTGAGGCATTTGGGATGGGGGGCTGGCACAGGGGGTTGGTTGCAGGGGACTCTGGGATCAGTGCTTGGTGCTGGGAGGTAGTGGAAGGGTGCGGGGGGGAGCTCTAGGAGGTAAGACTGGCACTGGGTGCTCTCGGGGCTGGGCTTTTGGCAGACTAGTAACATTTTATTTGCATATTCATCGTTTTCATAATGAATATGCAAATAAAGTTACCAGTCCACCAAAAGTTTGTGAATGGGTTTGCCGGTCCCCGGTATCAAAAAGGTTGGGAACCACTGTCTTAGGCTATGTCTATAGTATAGCTTATGTTGGCATAACTTATATTGCTTGGGGATGTGAATAAATTCTCCCCAAGCAACATAACTTACACTGACTCCCACTAACACTGATAAGCAAAAGCGTTATCAGTTAATGCTATAGACTACACACAATTCCCCGCATTGCCATCAAGTTTTTTAGCAGGCTGGCCAATAGCCTGGCTCAGTTCCAGCTTGCGCCGGGTTTGGGACTTACATTTTAAATGCAGCGCTGCAGCAAGGGTATTAGGAGCCAGGCAAGCAGGCAGCCTGACTCAGTTCCGACTTGCGCCGGGTCTGAGTGCTCAGAACCCCCTTTCCCTGGACAGGGGCTGTTGCCACCTCATGCTGCTGCCTCTGTATCAGAGGCAACAGCGCGGGGTGACAGGCAGCCAGTTTGCGAGGGGAACTGGTGTGTAAACTGGCTCCCCTTGCGGTACAGCTCCTGCCTGGCACCCCACGCTGCTGCTTCTGATACAGAGGCAGCAGTGCGGAATGGCAGCGGGCTCCTCGAGAGTGGGGCTGACATATACTGGCTGCTGGCCTCACCCCCGGGGACAATAGAATAGTCGAATAACTGATAAGAATTCATGCAGTTAATCGGCTATTCAGTTAACCAATATTTAACATCCCTAGTGAAAGCATTGAATGTGTAGACATGCCCTTGTTGTTGATACTGGATTGGTGGTGGTCTCAGGATGTTAGATAAATTAATCTCAATTATGGCACAAGCTGATTGACCGTGGCCCTTGTTCTCTAACCTTGACAATGTTTATACTCACACATATATACATTTTAAATGATCTCTGCAAAATTATAGCATCTTAAGTCAGAAAAGGCAGCTTGAACAAATTTTTTCCTCAGTTCAGACTAGCAGTGACTTTGGGTATGAGTAAGGGTCAGTGATATCTCAGTTAATTTCCCAGCCATCGTGGAGGCCTTGAGCACTGGTGCACCTCGGTCTCTCCTAATCTCTGCCTATGGCACATAACAGTCTAGTCTCCTGTTGGCTGTCATACTTTGATATAATTTTGGTTGTTGGACTTAGTTCACAGATGTTGGTGGTCTGTGATATACAGGAGCTCAGACTTGGGACCATCATCTTCCAGGTTTGAACTCTATGACCCCAAAGCCTGTCTCTACAATACCACAGAAAGTCAACCTAAAGTACACAACTCCAGCTATGTAGATAATGTAACTGGAGTCGATGTACCTTAGGTCAAATTATCACAAGGTCTATAATTTCAGGGGTAAACTACAAAATGATCTGCAGTTTATATGGCAGGTCTTCACTAGACCCAGCTAAATGGACCACTGATGGATTGATCTCAGAGCATCAACCTGCTGTAGTGTAGATATAGCCTACGAGAATTATTTTTAAGGCTGAGTGAGCAACCACATATGCATGAGTATTTTTATACAAATCAGTGGGACCTCTACCTTTCTGCATAAGTGTTTACAGGCTCTAGGTCAAAGATTTTAATTATAATCCTGAAGTCCACCAAAGTCAGTTATCTTTCTCTTGCCTTCAGTGAGGGTTGTATCTGGCCCTGTGTGAAGACTGATTTTAAAAGAAACCTCTATCACATATAAGAACATAAGAATGGCCGTACTGGGTCAGACCAAAGGTCCATCTAGCTCAGTATCCTGTCTACCGACAGTGGCCAGCACCAGGTGCCCCAGAGAGGGTGGACCGA